GATTTCTGGGGAGAAACCAAGGTGGCTTTCTGCCACACCCTGCTCATGCTGGCCTGGCTGGATGGCTGATCCTGCGCCCTGTGTGATGTTGTACAGGTGCCACCCAAGGCACACGCCTGCCTAGCAGATCACGTACCACAGCCACACCTGTATCACCAAGGGGAAACGGGCTTTACTGGAAAAGCCAGCATGTTGCAGCATCTCAGTGCAAACGCCACTACCCCCGCGCCGGTTCTCACACCACACGTACTCACCCCCATGCTTGTACAAGGGACCATGCCTGTGCGCATCCTGGCGCTTGCGGGTTCTTTCTCTGTTTGACTGATAAAGCCTTAGAGCCATTAGTTAAACTACAAGCAGCAGCAACAATTGTTCCTAAGGGAGTTTCCCTTGGAGAATGTCAATACTTGTCAAATATTTGAAAACAAGCTTGTGAGCGGGCTGCGGGGAAATGAAAATCAATACGCGCGGCTGTCAGCTGCTCACGGCATTCAGTAAGTAACAAAGCAGAGAAGACAAATGTCGATTTTCCTAATGGTACATGATGGCTGGCACACGAAGCACGTTCGTGCATGTTATGCCCGGGCGTTGCAAATGCCTGAAAGCGGTGGGTGAAGGATGGGAAACGCGGCCTTCGTGTCTGCTCATGTCCTGCCCCCACGTGGCAGGTCTTTCCTGCCTGGACTCTTTGACTTTGAGGAGGGTTGGCTTGTTAACATGAGAAAAGGGACAGCAATTGAGGAGGTGCAAAGCCGTAACAGGGCTCATCATACCTCCAGTGAGGGAGGGGAGGCAGGCCAGGGTGCTTCTCTCGCTCGGGAAGTATTGCTACCGACTGACATTCACCGGGCGCTGGATCCTTGCAGAGGAGCTGAATCCCTCTTGACCGCTGGGTGTCAGCCTTGGCACTTGCATCGAGTGGCCAGACTACGGCCGGTGCCCAGCAAGGCCAGAGTGGGGTGCAATTAGCTGCTTTGCTGCAGCTGAGGTCTTAGTTTGTCAGCAGCTCCCTGAGTCTGCCCCAGACCGGGGTCCTCCGCAGGCGAAGGCTTCCCCTGGCCACAGCTGGAAACGGCCCCATGCATCTGGGAACAGCCAGGGCACCGCGTGGCCAACCTGAACCCTCCAGCCCTGGCAGCGTGCGCTGAGGCCGGGGTTGTGCCCCCGCCGACAGAAAGCAGCTGGGCCTTATGCCTCACGCCGCGGAGCTGGGGAGCCCCTGCCTCGGCACGCAGCGCCCGTTTGGCAGAAAGGGCCCTGCCCAAACCTGCACCGGGGGGGATGCTGCTCCCCCACTGCTACTCACTCAGCGCTGCCAGGGGCATTGCAGCTGCTGGCACTGGTTTAAGGAGCAATGGGGACACCTCGCTCTGTCTCTCCCACCCCATTTTGCACCCATGCATGGTCCATGGGCACCCTTGTGCTTGCAAAGCAGCTGGCAGGGGGGGAGGCTGCTTTTGGGCTAAGCCCACCACCGCTCTGTCCCCTTGCATGCCCGCACCCAGGGGGGCCTGTCCCACTGCTGCTGCTTCTCCTCCCCTCTGTGCCAGCTCCCCGCACACAGCCGGCGAGCCCCCCTACTATTGCATTCATGGCTCTGCGGCTCTGGTGGTGCCATCATCTGTCATCCTTGCTCGCCTTCCCCCTTTGCTCTCCGCACCTCTGCATAGCCATGCTCCCCCTGCTCCGGTCCTCCGGCAGGTCCGCGGCCCCAGCCCTTCCAGCATCCCAGGCACAGCTGTACTCTCCAGCTCGCCTGTCTCTCCTTCTCTCCCCTTATCCCTCGGCTTCTGCCTCTTTGCCGCTCTTCCTCCTACCTTCTCCGTGGCTGCGTCAGAGCAGCAGCTCCCTGCCGCAGAAACCCGAACCCGGCCCTGCGACCCTGCTCTCGCCCTTCACCGCAGTGCAGTGCTCCCCAGGCCTTCCTTTAGCTGTGCCCCATGGTGATCCCCATTTCTTGTCATTTGCCCCAGTTTCCTTGGTATTTAATCCATCCTGGAGGTGGGTTTTGGGTGGTGGAGGCTGGGCAGAACAACTCCGGAGCCCCACGTCGCGTTGTGATGTGCTATAAAGGGCAGGATTGAGCTACCTCCTTTCCCAGCTGAGATGGCTCAGACTGGAGCCACACTAACCAGGCAGCCTGTGGCACGGGGACTTGGCCTGGGCAGTTGTTTTGCAATAGCCATTCATATTTTTGTCCTCTGCCGCATTTTTTTCTATATGACACAATCGACTGGTACAGCACACACTAAACGTAGATGCATGCAAAGGAAAACCAGTTGCAAGTGCAAAGTCTTTATCACACCATTAACGGGTGAATCACACAATAGATTTAGACTGGCTGGACGTGCAAGGTAATGATCACATGATGAAAACGACGCTCTAGCTATAAAAAAGAGCTATCCTGCTACAAAGTTAGTGCTTGGAAATGTCACAACGCTAGAGCTGGTTTGCATCCAGCTTTCATTTGAAGCAGTGGCAGGGCCCATAGTGTGTGGGGGGTTTGTAGGATGGGCTCATAGGGTCTGAAAGAGCTGCACACTTTTGGCTTTTCAGAGAGAGGGGCTCTCTAGTGCACGTGGCAAGGCCACCCCATGGGGCAACAGGCTGGTCCCTGCCTGCGCTCTCATACATTGGAATGAATGAAAACTATGAGTCTCTAAGACAACCTAGAAGCAGGATATGACAGCTTCATTTCAGCAGGCTCTTCCACCCAGGTATACTTGCACAGTTAGAGAAACACACCCCAGCAGAACGCCCTTCATCGGCATTCACCTGGGAATGTGCCAACAACAATAATAAAGAGAAACAGGATGCTCTAGGGAAAGGGTTATGTTTGAAGGCTAAACCCATAAACCTGCCACTCTTCTGCCACCCAGGCATAGCCAGGAGCCACACAATGGGGTGCAAAAGACCTATTCACCTGCCTTGATTTGGAGAGCAAGGCCAGGCTGGAACACATGCCAAATCAACTTCAAATGCTGAAAGCTCTGGGTAAAAGCATATTCATTATGTGCATCTAACCTTTCACAACTTCATTCCACTTCCAAACAGCTGATACCGTCTGCCAGCAGCCTGCTCCGCTGCAATTTCGAGGCGGCATTTGCTGCCCGACCACACACTGCACGTGCCAAATTCACGTCTTCCTACTCCTGAAGGCTTCTCACCTACCCACCAGCCCCTCGCTGTCTGAGTGACCGCGACACCCCAGCACTACTGGGGGCATCTGAATAGTAACACGTTGCAATCCCAGCACCTCCTCCGAATGTCTTTTACCCAGGAGGAGGTTTCTAGCAGTGAGCTATGCCGGTCCGCATCATGCAGCCGTGGCTCCATGCAGGCAGCCTCTTGCCCCTTGCAGTCCCACCTGAGTCGGTGCACGACTGCAGCACTGGAGGGGTGCGGTGGGTTCAGTGCATCTGTTGTACGGCATTTGTTTAGCTCGTTGTACAGCTCCCCGGGCTCTTCTGCAGGAGACCCAGGATGTACATGCGTACATGCACACTGTTGCTACTATTATTAGCATTTAGAGAATATGATATGGCATTGGGCCCTACATAAAATCCTGTAGGAGATTAAAGAGGATAAAACAGCCAGTCAGACCCGTTTCTTAACAGCTCTGTCTCTCTCCCCGCATGTCTCTCTGTCGGGCAGGTCCTGCCCCGTGCTTTCAGACTTGTGTCGCGGTGACCTGGCACGCAGGACCACAAGGGACACCCGAGGCCAGGCTCCTGCTGCCTCAGGCAGCTGCATCGCACAATCTGTTCAGAAATACAGCTATCTCTGTCTGGAAACGGGTCAAGAACATAGGAATTACCATGGACTGGGGCAGACCCTATGTCCTTCTTGCCCAGTCTCCTGTGTCACATAGGCAGAGGCAGAAAGGGAGGCAGCTGGGTCTGAGCAGGGGTTTCCCCTGTTCCTCTCCCACTTGCAGCCTCCAGCATTGAAGGTCCAGGATGCAGAGGCCGTGCCCCTCACCCCTGTGCTCAATAACTACCCATGCCTCTT